TTAATTAAAGCTAATGGAATCTCAGTACTTTTACAAAGACTGCGTTGGATGAAATGATTCATAAGTCATAGATGTCACAAGATTAATAAGGCATTCTTTTGCAAGACAATGAAGCACAAGCAAATAGGCGCAGGAGTAGTCGAAGAATATCAATGCCTTATATTTATTTCATAACGCGATTTCATGACTGTATTATGAATATAAATTTTATGTGGGGTTAGAAAAAGTTATTTCTAAGTTTAAATTCACAGCAACGCGGTAAGGTGAAAATCTTGTCAAGGAAGCTTGGATTATAAGCTCATTACTGTAAATAGTTTTCGTGAGGACATAACACCAAGATTTTCCTCTTCGATTTAGGACCCAGAGAACATTCTTCAAATGTAGCATTTATTTTTGAAACATCTTCTAAAAGTCTAAACAAAAATAGATTAATAATTATTTATTTAAGATATAAACATGCTACTTATGTGCCGCGTTATTTGTAATAGATTCCAGTCTTAGGGAGTATGGAAACCTTCTTGGAGAATGATTTTTATTCTGGTAGTTTCCTTTGTGTATTATTCTTTAGATAATGAAGAAGAGTTTTGCGCTATCGGGGTTGGCAATGATATACGTGAACGGCGTAGGAAACAACACACTGAGGCTGAGCAACGTAGAAGGGATGCCATCAAGGTTACCTTCTTTGGGTTTATTTTGCCAGAAAGGTTTTGATGGTCTATATGAATTATTAAATCCTAATTCTGAAGCAGGAGGGCATCCTCATAGGATGAGTAAGGCTACTATCCTACATAAATGTACACATTTATATTTCTTATTCCTCCATTTGAATAGCTATAGCAATGATAGAAAAACTAGCTGGACAGCAAAACCTGAAAGGCATTGAAATCGAGAATCTGAAAAATGAAGTAAAAGCTTTACAGATTCTTAAGCTGTATGTAACCTTACCATTCCGACATTTCTAGAAACTATGAAAATATTGTAAAAATGAGATCTGCTCATGGTATTCCAAAAGAGAAAATAAGCGAAGAACTAAAATTTCGCACTTTTGAACTATTTTTGGAGCGCATTTTTGTATCTTTTGATACCTCGGTTCACCTCTCTTCTTTTCAGGAACTATCCCGGTCTATTATTCATTGGCTGGAGGAGCATTGTCGCCCAGGGGTATATTTAAATATCAATCCTTTATATATATTTTAAAAGGATCTTTCTCAACATATGGAAGCAGTAGTATTGGATTGTTTTGGACCCTCAGGAAAATTTCGATCGTCACAAATTGTTACTCCGAGCCTCATCTCTTCTAATTATTCGATTACCGACTCCTACATAAGGCCTCTTGGTAGTTTATTCGTTTTAAATTAATACGCTAAGATATTAAGGAAAAAATAAGCGTAATTAACTTTTCAAATTATCTTTGTGACTCAGATGAATTAATACTCTTTCCAGATAACAGCTCTATCTGCAAGGACGTAAAAGACGAATCTCTCATCTATCTTGGAAACAATGATCAGAATCTATCGCATCCGCATCTTATGATTTGTAATTTATCAAAATTACCAAAGGATGACAGTGAATTTGGTCCCACAACTCTCCATTTTCCCTCACTTGCAAACTCCTTTGCTGATGAATCTGCCAACGCCCTCCGAAAATTCCTCCCGTGATACTTTTTTATAACGAGAATTGTTTACTATTATATATCATGATTTATCACTTATTCACTTCGACTTAAGCCTTGCTCTATTTTTCTATTGTAGACTACTTGGGACCTTCCTGACTAAATCGAATTATTTTTGTCCGTCCTGATTATATTTTATATTCATTCTTAATTTTCTAGTCATTTTATATTTGCTCTATAACGTCCTTTTTATTATATATTTACATATGGATCTGGATAATTATTTTTTATTTTGACAATTTAGTCGTATTTGTAAATTTTTGCGTGGCATTGAGTTCTCTTTCAGCAATTGGTATCCTGGTTTATAAATGTAAAAGCAAAGATACTGACTTCGGGAAACATGCTTCATCGCTCCTATTACATAACAAAATCGATTTAGCCTTCGCTTAGCCAAAGCCATTTTTAACTCTGACAGGATACCTGTTTATCGAGAAGCTTCTATGGTACGAATCTTACTATTCACTGTCCCAAAGGGCCTACCAACTTTTGTTATACTCATTGTTTCCATTAACAACTATGCCCTTTGACCTTCGATTGAATGAATTGTTCCATTAAATCACTCTATACATAAGCAGAATTGGATTTTAGGCTAAAATCATATTAATTTTAGTATTATTAATTATTTCGCCCACTGATTAATGAGCGTATATGAATGTATCGATAGCATGGCAAGTGAGGTAGGCTGTCATTTCTTGAAGGTTTATATGCCTTTCAGACAACCGTCACAGGACCGAGAGTACTGTCTTACCTCTGAGGCTTGGTGTTATGCAGCATGCACAAATAAATTTCGGTGCGCAAGTTGCACATGTGCACCATCCCAATTATCAAGAGTATTTAAGATGGGAATTCTGGATCCCTACTATCTCTTTGATGGGGTGCCGCCGTCTAGTGTAGGACTACCGGACAGTCCCACAATAGTTAATTACCGTAATTTTCAATCTCGGGATGCGCTTCTGTGATGTATTTATTAATCCAGGTATTTTAATTTCGGGCTTACAGTGTGGGGTTGCCGGGCAATAGGCTTAGGGGCCACCGGAGTGCTAATGGCATCACTAGTCGCAAGTTAGAAAAAAAGGTGACGGGCTCCGGAAAACTTATTTAAGTTGGGGTGAGAAAGTCCTTTTTTGTGTCCAGGAGGGCTCGTCTAGGGCGTTTACGCGGCTTCTTCCCCAGGTAGGCTGGAAAAAAAGGTCTGTGGGCTCGAAGCTGGACCAATGGCTAGCCTTTAGTTACAGTGCCCACGTTTGCCAGCTAGGATTTCGGGCTCTAATACGAGCGTAAACCGTGAAGGACTTACGGAATATTTTAGGCATTGCTAAAAAATTTGATACGGTTCAGGCAGAATACTAGAAATGGCTTATTCAGAAATTTTGACTAGCTGTCGAATTCTGCTGGCGTTGTGAATGTGGCAATTTTATATCCATAGGACAAGCAAAGGGTTTTCGAGGCGATCAG